TATTAATACATACCTCCCAATACCTATTGGATGCCTATCCCACTGAAGTCAATGGAACTACTCACATGAGTAAAGTTAACCATGTACATAGCTGTTTGCAGGATTGGGGCCTAAAACACTCAACATTCCCAAAAAGGAGTAGTAAACCACTTACCAAAGATTACTTTGCATGACAGTTTCGGTACAGTGCTGATATAAATTAAAAAAGGAGATTAGTAGTAGGAATCCTTCAGTCTCGAGAGACCATGGGTATGCGCCCCGAGAGGTAAAGAATGTACTCAGTTGGTTTTATGGCTGCCGCGAACGTGGCTGAAGAGACCCACTCGAGAGAGACAATCTCTGCCGTAGCTGTCACATTTAAAGGTGATGTTTTGACCCTTTGGGCTCTGCCTTCTGTGAGCTCTTTTTTCTCCTCTGCTAAGCTGGACGGTTTCCTCTCGGAACTCTGGAGACCCCTGTTAAGCTCTTGTTTCCAAAGGCTGCTGTCTTGAATGTGATCTGCCCATTTGTCCACATCCATGTCCATTTCTTCTCATTTGCACAGATCCTTGAAATGCAATTTTGGGCGTCCTTTGGGTCTTTTTCCAGATGCCAATTCGCCATAGAGGATGTCCTTTGGGATGCGTCCATCATTCATTCGGGGCACATACCCAAGCCAGCAGAGGCGTCTCTGTTTGAGGACTGTTTGCATGCTGGGTATGCCTGCTTGAGCACCTCAGTTGCTGGTGACTCTGTCCCTCCAGGAGATGCCAAAGATTCGATTAAAGCTGTTGAGCCTCTTTTCCTGCCATGTCTTGCTCCCGTACAACAGTGTGCTGATAACACATGCACGATACACAGAGATCTTTGTGTGTTCTGTCAGTTTGTTGTTTTGCCATACCCTCTGTGGTGGCTTTTCCAGTGCGGATGTTGAGTTCTGTTTAAAGTGAAAGGTTGGCTGAGATAGTGGACCCCAGGTATCTGAACTCATTCACCACTTCAAGTTCATAGTTCTTGATCTTGATGGAAGGTGCTTCCTTAACTCCTTGGCACATTGTTAGTCTTTTTTAGGCTTATAGTAAGCCCAAAGTCTTGGCAGGCTTTGGAAAAACTGTCTGTTAGGCTTTGAAGATGAACTTCTGTGTGGGTTGTCAGTGACGCAGCAGTGAAAAAAGGAGATTATAACTAAAGTAACTAAAATATACGGCCTGTTTCAAATAAACTGTTTTGGAAAAGGTATGTTTAGAGGCAAAGTGCTCACAAAGTTCTATTATTTTTCTATTGTATTTTTTCAAAGGTGGTTGTGCATATAAGGGCTAGGCAAAAAGCATCTGAAATTCTGTAACGTTATTTTTATTGCTTATTATGGTGGACAAATCCTTTTGCTAAGTTCCCATCCAATAGGACATTAAAATAGCAAGATATTGAACTCTCAGAGCAGCCTTTACAATGGAAATGTTCACAGGTCCTGACCTCCAGTGTGCTGCTTTTTAGCTTATTTAACTTATTGTGGATAGAGCCAGCCCTAGCTTGGTGCTACAAGGATGACTTCCCTTGACTTTTGGGTATGTCTACACTACCGCTGTGAGCTTGCCTCTCAGTAGAGGTAGACAGACTTGCACTAGCTCGCTAAAAATAGTGTGGATGTTGCGGTATGGGTAGTAGCACAGGCTAGCTGCCTGAGCATGGACCCAGGGGGTCAGGCAGGCTTGAATTTGTGGCCACCCACGCCACAACATCCTTACTGCTACTTTTAGTGCGCTAGTGCATGTCTGTCTACCTTACTGAGAGGCGTGCTCCCAGGTGCCGTGTCGTCAATACCCTTGGTGGCTCCATGGTTAATACTTATTAGATCTGGTCAAAAAATGCCAATTATTTTTTGTAAGACATGTTTTTAAAAAATTCCAAAACATCACACACAATTTTTTCCCAAAAAGCAAAAAAAGTTTGATTGTCAAAAAATGCTCTCAGGAAAACCCCTGGCTTTTGAAAACTGACATTTTTAATGGAACATTTTCAGTTTCCATTTTTTCATCAGAAGCCCAGATGTAGATGCTATATAGCACCTTAGCCACGCTCCTTTCTGTTTTACCCACCCTAAACTATGACTGATGAAATAAAGCACTTCATGCAGGCTGCAGGATCAGTAAAGAGCTTAATAGCAAAGCTTTATTGTTAATCATTCCAGATAGTGCTTCAATGATTTTATTTTTTCCCAAGGAGAGTATATAGAATCTTCAAGCAAACAATACTAGGAAATCCCTTGGGGCCTCCTGAAAGTTTTTAAATTATGTTTTCAATACCATCTCTCTGATTAGCTGGCACTTAAAAGCTTCACTTAGCAAAGTGAACCTAATGGAGCAATACCTGTTAGTGTTGAAAGCTCTGGCAATCAAATTTCTCCAGCTCTCATTTCTAATGAGATTTTCGGTTAAACAATTTAGATTTTTAAAAGTAATATTGGTTTTGATACAAATCTCCCTTTTTCTTTGAGTCAGAATTTGTTCAAACCATTGGAAATAATTCTAAAAACCCTTCCACAAAGTCTGACCATTGTTCTAATTTTCCCAGGTTGTTTGGCTTTAGGAAATTGTACTCATTCATACAGTCGACGAGTATACCACAGAGGCAAACCACTAGCTGAGAAAGAGACATGAAATTTGACTGGCTGGCTTTGTTTGCATTAAATATAATCAGAGCAAGGTTACTATTTTGATTTATGCCTAAGATTTAAATACACATGAAAGTGAAGCTTTCCATTTTTTCTTTCTCAATAGGCGTAAAGGAGTTTGTAGAGCCCAGAAGCATCTTTTTCTGGACCCACAAAGGGCCAACGTCCATTGAAATCAATTAGACTCTGTCTACTGACTTCAGCAGGCTTTCAATCAAGCCCTAAATTGTCATCTGAACCTATAGCAGAGGTTTATGGTGTGCTAGTAAAATATAAACAGTCTTTGAAGTGTTATTAATGTTTTGTGAAATAAATGCGAGAAGCTGGGACTTGCGTTTGACTCTTAGCAATATAAATTCCTCTTTACTTCAGTGCACAGAATGTACAATAGGTGATACATAAATTGGAGTCACAGCTGGGCAAAATTTTTCAGACAAATAGTTTATTTGCCAAAAATAAATGCAGTTTCAGTCGACCCAAAACTATTTGCAAATTTGACCCAATTAATTTCAACTGGGAAAATGATTTTCAGGGCCAGCTCCAGAAAACTGTGTGTTTGTGGTACATGCACAAACCTTTGCTCCCCCTCCCCCAACATTTAGCCCAATAATTAGGGCACTTACCTGAGTGTAGGAGACCCAGGTTTGAATCCTTACTCTATAGCAAGGACTTGAACTCAGATCTGCCCCCTCCTATATGAGCATCCTAACCGCCAGCCTCTAAGCTGTTCTGGGGTGGGAGTTCTCTCAATTCTCCTGCTGAAGCTGTTCCACATTGTACGAATAGACAACTAGCCATTGGGTCAAAGAGAGAGTGAGACTGACTCAATAGCCTGGTGATTAAGGCACTCAGCTGCGAGGTAGGACATATGGCATTAAATCCCTCCTCTGAAACAGGAAGAGATGAGACAGTCCCTCTTTTTTGAAGCTGACTAGACGTTTCCGATTTGCTGACATATATTCTGAACATTTTTGGAACCGAACCAAATGTTTGTTCTGATTTTCCAGTTTGACGGCTGAACCGAAAAATCAGTTATTTGCCCAGTTCTAGTTGGAGTGTTTGTGCTACTCGTAAATCACTGGGCAGCCTCAATCAGTTGTTGCTTTTGCTGCTTTGCTATTAGCCCCAATTAAGAGCCCAATCCAGCTCCTTCTGAAGGAACTGGATCAGGAGCAGGCGTTTGAAGGCTGATGAATTTTGGTATATGTGGCTGATTTTGGAAGCAGTGGTCTCATGCTGGTTAGAGGTAATGACTCAACATGGATTTAAGCATCGCTGAGAGGAAACGAGAAAAAAATGAGCCTTTAGACAATTCAGAGACAGTATTAAAGGGAGCACTGTAGAGGGGGAATTTTGTTATACATCTTTCCTCAACCTTAATGTGGAGTTGCATGGCTAGATTAGGAAGGAAGAATCCTATGCACTGCTACAGCCTGGGGACCGACTGGTTAAGCAGCAGTTCTGCAGAAAAGGATCTGGGGATTACAGTGGATGAGAAGCTGGATATGAGTCAGCAGCGTGCCCTCGTTGAAGGCCAAGAAGGCCAACGGCATATTGGGCTGTATTAGTAGGAGCATTGCCAGCAGATCGAGGGAAGTAATTATTCCCCTCTATTCGGCGCTGGTGAGGCCACACCTGGAGTATTGTGTCCAGTTTTGGTCCACCCACTACAGAAGGGATGTGGACAAATTGGAGAGAGTCCAGCAGAAGGCAACAAAAATGATTAGGGGGCTGGAGCACATGACTTAGGAGAGGCTGAGGGAACTGGGGTTATTTAATCTGCAGAAGAGAAGAATGAGGGGGAGATTTGATAGCCTTCAACTACCTGAAGGGGGGTTCCAAAGAGGATGGAGCTAGGCTGGTCTCAGTGGTGGCAGATGACAGAACAAGAAGCAATGGTCTCAAGTTGCAGTGGGGGAGGTCTAGGTTGGATATTAGGAAACACTATTTCACTAGGAGGGTGGTGAAGCACTGGAATGGGTTACCTAGGGAGGTGGTGGAATCTCCATCCTTAGAAGTTTTTAAGGCCCGGCTTGACAAAGCCCTGGCTGGGATGATTTAGTTGGTGTTGGTCCTGCTTTGAGCAGGGGATTGGACTAGATGACCTCCTGAGGTCTCTTCCAACCCGAATATTCTATGATAATCATGCATGGCGTTGAAGTTTTGTGTGGAAATTTGGAAGGACCATTTGTCTGCACCAAATGTTATAGGGTACTTTTTCTAAAATAACAGGCATGGCCAGAGTTGTTAATTAAATGCTATATAACATGAATAACTTACAGTGTAATAGAAAGAGACTGTTTTCTAATAGCATGGTTAATTATGTAATCTCTTTCCCTTCTCTTTTTAGCATCAGAAGACTCTAAAGTGCAAGACAAGAAAGCTGCTTCTTCCAGCCTTCCCAATTCTGCTGCTTCAGGGCAAAGCCCCAACAACTCTGCAGCTAAAGCAGGTACGCCATTATACACTTCTCATCACCACTGTTTGTTTGCCTAGACCACAGAAAAGCTGTTATTTTTGTAGAACCTTTAAAAATGTTTTGGGCTCTTATATTTCATCTGCTGCTACTTCAGTTGAAAATAATTATGAATGATTATTCCTGCTCAGCTGTGCTGATGATGCACAAAGAAGCAAAAAAGCCACGTTCATTTTAGTTCTGAAAAATCGGAAAAAAAAGTCATCTCTCTATCTATCTGTGCTTACACCAGAAAAAGCACATGAAATCAACAGGCTACCTTGGGGGTAGTTTCACACCCTTGCTTGCTACGATTGAAATAGTTGTGTAGACAAGCCCTTAGTTCCTAAATGGAAGGAGTCAGGTCTCAGTGCATGAGGCACAATCTTAAAGCCGGCAAGGCTGCCTCTGCACTAGTAAAATTAGTACCCATGTTTCAGAATGGTGCCGCTTCCCCCGGCTAAGACAGGTGTAGACAAGGGTCACATGCATTTTCATTCCATGGTTATAACAATGCCAGAGTCCAGTCTTAAGCAATCACTCACACTGTTTGTGAGTGAGTAGAGTTCCTGCCCCATCGCAAACAAAACTCAGCTCCTAAAGCTTGGTTCTCCACTCAGTCCCAGGGGACCTTGGGCAAAGTGGAGATGGAGTTACAGTTTCTGAGTTTCTAGGCTCCATGCACGTTAGAGCTTAAAAAGAGCACCTGTAACCTACGCCACTAGAATAAAGTCCCTCAGGGATCTTGCACCAGTGGCGGACTGGGCATAGCACCACTTCACTGCTCACCAAATGCTCCCGCCCTCTTCTTATACCAACCCATAACTACATGAATGCTATACAAAAAGAGAGAGCGCTACCCTGTAATGTCCAGAATGAGTCTCACTATGTATTAGTATCAAACGTTACATTTTTTTAAATTTTATTTTATCCATTAAGGCTGAATTCACTGGTACATTTTGTGTGTTTTGCAGAACTCTGGAGCAGCACAAAATAGCTGCAGTGTAGTGGCCAATTACACCAGGTTTACAGTTGTTTTGCATCAGTGAAACAGTACAAACCAGTCAGTGTTTACTAGTGAATCTGGCCCTTAACTTGCAATTGGTTTACTCATTTAGCTGATACAGTTGTTTTTACCACTGTTATGAAAACATGCTCAAAGCATTTTCATGACATGGTAGTAAAAATGCCCAAGTCCCGTCCTGAACAAAGTTTACTCTGTGAGTGGGTGGAGAGGCGATGGTGGTGGTGGTGTTTTTATGTTATAATTATTTTTGTAAAAAATACGCCGGCACACTTACCAAGTAATCTTCCATGATGTGAAACTGGAGCTTGAATGTCATAGCTGAAAGGAAACAGATCTATTTCTTTTTTAAAAGTTATCTATAAAAGGCTTGAGGCAGATGAGAACAGAACAGTGCAAGGTTTAGGGAGATAGAGAGAATGTAGATGAGAGGGAAGGCTCTCCCTTTGAATAACACGGTCCTCCTTTCCCATGGGCCCTCACAGACACCAGCTTCCCCCTATCCAGTCCACTTCCTCATTCTCTCCCCCTGACCTCCCTCACTGTCCACCTCAGGTCTCCCACCACCACAAAGCAATACCATGGCCGTCAAGAGGGGAAGGGAAGTGTTTGTGTGTGAGGAGTGCTTATGGGTGTTGAGTGGAGATGGGCACAAAGAAAGGAGCATTATCTGTGATGTCACAATGGCCCCAGTTAAGAGTGGCCTGAGCTACTGAAACTGGCCCATCGTCTATGAAGCAATCTTAATAATTAGATATAATAATCAGTAACTTAGCATAATTATAACCTAATTTCTTCAAATGTAACCTATGCAGAAAATTTCAATTAATATTAATTATATGGAAAGTTTGAGTCTATTATTCCATTGCTAAGATAATTGGAGACAAAAAAAGTTGACACTGAGTGCTACATTTCTTAAGGGATCTAGTTTAATTATAACTCCTAAACGAATTGCATAGATTTTACTTGTAAATTCTCAGAAAATTTATTCATTCTGTACTCAAAAAGGAAGCAGTGTAACTTTTGTGGAGGATTCACTGTATTTTCATAGGGGTTGCATCCCTGCTTTAAGTTCTAAATTAAACTTTTGCTATGGAGCCATGACCAGTGCCTCCCTGATAACCTCAGAGCACTCCTGTCAGACAGGTAAAATATTGAGCATTTGTATATTATGCCCTGAAATTCTGTTAAGTATAATTATCTCAATAATATAATGAAACGGGGAGCTGAGCATAATGAATACAAAGACATCGCAGCATGACCACTCAACAACTTCCACACCAACAGCCGGATCCTGCAACGTGCTTCAGCACCTTCTACAAGAAGCTGTGCACCCTCAACTCCCACTTAGGTGAATGAGAGCTGAGGGAACTCTGCAGCAGCGGCCCCTAGCACCACATCTTCCATCTCGCTGTGAGAGAACCCAGAGCACGTGACCATGATAAATAAGATTAAGGCAGAGTTATGTTACTCTGAACATACAGACTGGCATTTTCACACTCCTCTAAAGTGCCAGTCCCTCTGGGTCCTAGACATGAATGTATTGAACTGAGAGACCCTGTCTAAATGTGCAAAGAGACGAGAGACAAAAGAGGTAGCAGTGCCCTGTGGAACTTTTCTACCTAACCACATATTTTAAAATTATATACTCAGAGTGTCAACTGATCAGTGGGATCCAGAGTGCTATTGTTGGAGTTTGGGCATGAGGCCAAACAATGAAGGGTTGATTTCCAGACCTAGTAGAGACATGTAATTAACCTAGTAGGATTTGCTTCATTACTCCTGTCTATTCCAACCACCAGCAGAGCAGAGGCAGGTGTGATTTTTGGTTTGCCACTAATCTCTGAGCTCTCATTCCCACCCTTCTGCCAAAATTTATTTCCTCTTACACACACCCAAAAAATACAATGGAGAACAACCCATGATAGAATACAGGCGCACTCCCTGCACAATTTGGGACATACTGCTGAATTCCATGAGGCTTTTCTAGCATATCTATCAGGATTGTTAAATGTGCAATGTAGCAAGAGTAATTGAGTTCTTTAAATTGAATGGCAGAGAGCACTTTTTTTTTTATTCAAGCCGCTGCTCATTATTAGCCAAGACTTTCACAATTCATCTTTCCTTATAATCTTTGTTCCTTTCAGAGGAATCCCTCTTCTTCTCTCCTACGTAAACATCTGACAGAAGGTAGAAAAGAACCAGGTAGGGAATAGTGTATTCTGAAAGAAGCAGCATGTACTCTAGATGATCCTGATCTCCCCAATCACTTACCATCAAGTTGACAGAATGCTGAAGTTGCTGAAAACAAACTCTTTCCTAGGGGATTTCATATTTATTGCACAATGATCCAAATGTCTACAGCCTACTCGAGTTGGAGAGATTTATAAATTGTCCTCTCTGGGCCAGTCACAAGAATTGAGGGGTTTGTTGGCATTCCAGAAGGAATGCTGTGTTAACCTGTATCCTGCCCCTGTATGTTAAAAAGAATGGACAAGAGCCACCGTTTTTCTTAAATCAATCCAAATTCTGAATATCTACCATGCATGGGACCCAGAGTCAAAACTGGCATAAAACAGCATAGCTACATAGCCTTCAGTAATCTAGGCCAATATACAATAGTTACGAATCTGGCCTGGTGGGTTTAGGTAACAAATTACCTATATCCTTGTTAATGACTTTTCACTTCACTTTAGTAATGTTAACCTAATTTTCAGCTTGTAGCCCGGTTAATATATTTATCTTTCATTCTACCAACATTGAGTGTGATTTGCCACTGTTGTTCTAGTCTTACATTAGTGTAACTTATTGAATCAGGACTGTAATCTCTAACCACTAATCAGATTGGTATTACATCATCAGATCATTGTTCACTGATAACATTTTTAAAATAATTAAACTTAAGGTAGGGAGCAACAATTTATTTATCCAAGATGACAAGGTTCTGTCATTCTAGTGCACCAGCAACAAGTCAGATGATTATATCTAAATTATTTATTTACTGTAACTCAGATAGCCATCATAAATCAGTTTTTTAAACATCTCAACCTCGCTTCAACATTTATTTTCCACAAATATGTATATTTTCCCTCAACTTTATTCAGTGAAAGTTATTTTCTGTTGGACCATGGCTTTGGACATTATAAAACCAGATTTTCAAAGTAAGGTCCAGTCATATGCAGACGTTAGCACACACTTACTTATGCACACATATCCCTGATATGATGGTGTATATCAAATATATGTGCGCTCACGTTGCATAACTGCATGTATAAATTGAGTGCCACTTCCTTTACTTGAAAATTGATGTGTTTGAGATTCTAGAAGCACAGTAATATCTCTATTAATAGTTACCTTGCTTACATTATTATTTAGATTCCAGTCACATCCAGAATGTCCTAGTCTCTTTTCATGATGAAGACACAGTCCCAGCCCCATTCTTTGTTTTAATATGAAAACTATAAAAACTGGGGTCTAGTTCTTCCCAGTATCAAAATAACACTGACTGTTTATTATACCCCAAAATCTTTTCTATCATTCTGTTTTTCTGTTTTGTTTGTTTTTTTTAGTAAACTTTTCAGTACTTGTGAGGAGTGTCAAATTAACAACCCTGAAGACTGAACTCATTTATCTAAAGAACAAGTAAAGAATAGGTAGTGGCAAAGCAAGTTTTGCCACATCTCCCCTGACAAAGTACCTTCACTGGGGGGTCCAGGTGCAACTGGTTGGGGCTCAGTGGGGTGGGGATCCGGGTGGCTTGTTGGGGTGGTCCAGGTGCAGGGGAAGTGGGGCTCATCAGGGTGGTTCTGAGTGTGGGGGGTGAGGCTCGGCGGGAGGGTCTGAGTATGCACAGGGGTTGGGTGGATGGTGGAGCAGCTCCCTGTACAGGGATCCCTCCCCCTGCAGCTGAGGAGCGATGAGTGCAGAAAGCAGGGGGAGGAGGTTTGCACAGCTTCTTGCAGTGGGGGAGGGGGGAACTAGGGGTGGGTCAGACCCAGCCCTGGATGCCATGCAGGGGAAGAGGAAGTCCCGTCCTCCCCAGCTCAGCTGTGACTAGCAACGGAGCCCATTGCAGGGTAGGAGCCACCAGCTGGGTCTTCCCCAGTCCCGCTCCGTGCCCCACAGTAATTTACCTCTCTGCTGGCTGCCCTGGGCATCCAAAACATACTGCTGGGGAGGGTTGCATGACTGCTCTTGTGGCTTCCCTTTGCTTCCCCGTCAGAGAGTCATTTTTCTGTGGGGGATATAAATTCTGCGCATTACTTTGTCAAGATCTAACTTGGTTTTTCATGTACTGCACTTCTCAACAGTCCTAAAGGAAATGGCTTTTTCAAAGCTATTACCATTTCACGGTCGATGTACTGTATAGTGAGCGTACTCTGTGGTTCTGTATCAAGGATGGGTTTCAGTGTCTTATTGGAAATTACAATGCAACATCAATGAGATATTGCACTATTGCCTTGCCAGCTTCAGCACACACACACAAAAATTAAAAATACATCATGTATGCTTGGTTTATTGATTCAGAAAAGCACTTAAGCTTGTGTTTATTTTGAAGCATGCTATGATATTACTTACGTGGTTAAAGTTAAGCTCTGCTGAATCTCCCATCATTTTTTAAAATTCCAGAAATGTCTCCATTACTAAACAGCATCTTACTGTATTTCTTCCTTGAGATAAATTGTTTTTTTTCCAAACTGTACCCACACAAAAAAAAAACCAAAGTTGACTCCAAAGTGATTTTTAAAGTCTCTAAGTTATAAAGATCTAAAAAAAAAAAAAAGCTTTGTTGTAGCAAGAACAGGCAACCTTGCTAGAGGGATCAGGGTTGCCACTTTACTCTAGATTTTTCAGTGAGCATTTATGTTGGTTCTTTTCACCTTGGTATAATTAGAATGGGTTCACACTTATATTAAATAGATAGTCTTCGTTTAATATGAGGGATTTCTGGAGACACTGGATTTTATATGTTTGAGACTGCCATTATAGCTACCATTGTAGGTAGTGGTTGCTGTTCTAGTAAACTTGCGTTTTCTAATATAAGATCTTAATCTCTCTTCCTGATTTTTTGTTTGTTTTTTGTTGTTGCAGACCATCCACCTGTACTAAAAGTTGATGACAGACAACGGCTTGCTAGGATACGGAGAGAGGAACTGGAAAAGCAGTTAGGTGAGACATAACGTTATTTAGCAGCTATAATTTTCAGGATTGTGCTTTTTGGGTAGAAGTACCTAATAGTACAATATGCTATCCCTAGCAGCATAAGGAAAAATCATGTTTTAAATATGCAATATTGTTCTTTTAGACATCTCATTACATCTTGAGGGTAGACTTGGTTTTCATGCATATTCTGTTATTTGCCATTACTGACCCTATTACATGTGTCTTAAAACTCTTTATAGTATTGAACTAAATGGGCCAAATTCTGCTCTCATTTACATCAGTATAAGTGAAAATAGCTCCACCGATTTCTTCTGTGGAGGTTCTCCAGACTTAGAGCAGAATTTTTCCTAATATGTTGAACACAATCCTGTGTTGTACATAAAACATGATAGCAAATTATGTCAATGTATAGATTGAATTTTAGATATCAGTGTGGTTTTTATTTGTTTTTTTTCTTGATCAGATTCTTTTTCTACTTATTGATTGCATCTGTTCATGACATTAAAGTAATAATGCGTGCGTGCACAGTACTCATAACCAGACTATCCAGATAAATATTTACGCCAAGGTTAATTGACAAGTAGCTATTTTTTATCTTGATGTAGGATAGCAAAACAAATTACAGGCTATAATCTTTGTATTTTTCTTACACAAGATTTCTAATAATAAATCACTTTTTTTTAAATCATTTCTTATTTCTGTGAGGGTAAAGTCACACCACTGAAGTCATCAAAATGGAGCTTAAGTGGTGCACAGGCCTTGTGCTAATCTGAATTTCACCCATTGCATATTGGCCCAAATTCGGCTCCAATTTAGAACACTAATCTTGATGGTGTTACTCCATATTTACACTAGTGTAAATGAGAACTGAATTTGGCCCATTCATATATCATAAAGGTAAAATGATTAATAAAGATTTGTATGGCTAATAACAGTTGCATGTATTGACCCATTTTTTTTAAAGCAGCCTGTTGTCAGTGTTCTCAGTGGATAATTTTTTCAATAAGTTTCTGCATTTCATGTTTTTCCTCTGCTAAATGAAACTGAGTGATAGCTGTGAAATCTAAAAGTTTAGAAAAAAATAAGAATAAATTTTTAGGTCCATGCAAAAGTGGCAAAATGTTTTGCCATTTCATTCCAGAGAATTTTGCACCCGACAAAAAGAAGTTGCTTATCTTCTCATTTATGCATAGAAAAAAAAGTGAGAAGCCAATTCAAATGTGGTGGTCGTGAATTCTTGAATGGCAGCATGTCATTCATTTTCTGGGGGTTTTGGTGTAATGTCTGAAAACTTAGGTCTCTGGTATGTTCATATCAGGGTATATAGATAAACTGTTACACACCACACACTCCATTGTCTGAGGCATCAAATGCAGGTACAAGAGACAGAAGTCTGTCAGTTATTCATCCATTGCATTGCAACTGCATTTGTGCAGCAGATTAAATGCAGTCTGTGCTTTTTTGGAAATTGCACACATGTAGTCTGGTACCCTGCTGAACGCTGACATGCTCCCTCTCTTGTAAAAAAAAGCCTTTATCTTGAGCAGCACTGAGCACCCACAACTCCCATTACCTTCACAGACGCTTAGGAGTTGCAGATGCTCAGGATTGGGCCTAGCAAATGAAAGTCCAAATAAAATCAAGAGCCAGGATTTTTCTCAGCTTGGCATTAAACAAGAGGGGACTGCAGGGAGCTATGTTGGAATTTAGGCCTGGCAGGACACACAATAAAACCCTTCATAGCAAACACCAATTTACAGCAGAGTCAAAAAAACGGGCAGAATTTAGGCAAGAAAGGATATACACAATTGCGCACACACACAGCCTCTGCAGCAGTAGCTGGAATAGCAGCCACACAGTAAGGATATGTCTCCACTTGGAGCTGGGGGTGTGATTCCCAGTTCAAGGAGATATACCCTCACTAGCTCTCACTGAGCTAGTGCTCTAAAAACAGAATGTAGTTG